ATGGCCCATAAAATCGTGTTGTGCTCGGTACGGCTTGCAAACCATCGTGTCGAACCGGCTCAAAATCGTGTCAGGCCACAGGCAGCATGGCCCGATTTACACCTCTAGGTTTGGGAGACTCTTTAAGGGATGAACTACTTGCAGCTGTACAAGGAATCGTGCTTGCAAACCAACTGAGAATAGAGCATTTGCTTATTGAAGGGGACTCCTAGGTGATTGTGGGTTGGTTGAAAGATCAAGATTATGTGATTTGGGGCTATAGAGATCTCCTTAAAATAGATAATTGGCTAACAAGGAATATGACAATTAGAGTTCAGTAGGTAGGCAGATCAGCAAACTCAATGGCTGATTCACTTGCAAAAGAGGGGGTTTCTCAAGCTTCTTTATTTTGGGCTACCTTATAATTTTATTTGAATTTATAATTCTGTGACTAATCTTAAAGGAAAGGTTGCATCTCATGCCTCTCCCTGGATTAATTGTAAGTCCTATTTGCTGGATTTATAAAATTTTACTCATTTATCAAAAAAAAAAACAGAATATATGATATGTAAATTTAATAATAATAGGAGTGCAAATCAGGGTACACTCAGGATTGGAGACCAAGAGATAACTCAATGTGACCTTTTCTAGTACCTTGGTTCAATGATTCATAACAAAGGAGATTGAGGGGGATGTCACCAATAGAATTAGAGCAGGATGGACAAAGTGGGGGCCTGGAGAGGTGTATCCGGAGTTATAAAGTTTATAAAACAATAGTAAGGCCAGCTATGTTGTATGGAGCGAAGTGTTGGCAATCAATAAACAACATGTTCAGAAAATGAGTGTGGCAGAAATGTGTACGCTGGGATGGATGAGTGGAAAAGCTAGAAAGGATAGGATCAGAAATGAAGTTATTCAAAGGAACCTAGGAGTAGCTCCAATAGGTGATAAAACGGGAGAGAGTAGACTAGTCTGGGCACATGCATAGAAGACCATCAACAGCACCCATAAGAATAAGCAATTTGTTGCAAGTTGAAGGGGCTAGAAGGGCTAGGGGTAGACCAAAAAGGACATGGGTAGAAGTAGTAGCAAATGATTAAGTGCCAATAATTTAACAATCAATATGGCATTAAACAGAACAGAATGGTGAAACAGGATTCATGTGGCCGACCCAATATAGTTGGGATAACGCTTGGATGATGATGATGATAATGATGATTCCTGTCTTTTTTTATGAAAAAAAAGTTCTATAATTTTTTTATTAAAGATAGAGAAAAAGAATTATAAAGTGTTTACATACATCATCAAATAATCCCTTAAAGGCGGTTAGCCACATCTAAGATCCTTTACAAATCCCACCCTTGGGGTCCCCAAAACATCTGATTTCTCAATGCTCCCTGTTTTTCTAAGCCAGCTTCCAGTCCAAAGACAGATCTTGGTATCCATGTAGCATTAGCCCTTAATTTTTTTGATAAATAACATTAGCACTTAATTCCTTCATGATATTACTTATCTCCCTAATTACATATATGTGCGCCCACAGACCCTCCTGATTCTTCTTCAGCCAACATGTAACAACACAAGAATCAGCTTCTACCAAAAGATGTCTAAAGCTCATGGTCTTAGCCCTTCTTACTCCTAACAGAGCCCACAGCACTAACCCTACTTGAGTCACGATTTCCTTCCAGATAACAAGGCTAGTATATTTCTTGAACCATTTTTGAACATTTGCCATACATCTGATTGACCTGGATTCCCGAAGCTGCATCCATCAAAATTTATCTTTACGAATCCAGCAAGTAGTGAACCCATACTATTGATGTGATAGCTCTTATCGTTGAAGATTCAGCCACCATTCTCCAATTCCTTGGGATGTCACATGTAGCAAATGGTCTGAATGCATCTATTGAATTGCTCGGTTTTAGATGACTTTTTTGAGAACTAAATGCAGATGATTGGTCTGAAGAAATGAATCTTGAAACTTTGCCCAAAAATCAAGAACTAGAGTAAGTTTTTTGTTCAGCATATTAGGTGGAATCTACAGTGGCATACAAGATTGCACTTATCCTCTGGAAACGGGTCTGTGGAGTTCAGTTTGGTTGTGGTTTTGGCTATTATGATCATAAAAACTTGATATGAATTCCTAAAAGAGTGAAGTTCTTCACTTGAGTAGTGGCTTGGGAGAAATGTCTAACCAAGCAAATGCTACTAAGGGCATAAATATATCAGATTCCCTCTGCCCCTAGTGTATGGAGAAGAAGAGTCTTCCAATCATATCTTTCTTCACTGAAGCTCCACATACAAGATATGGATGAACTTCTACAAGGCTATATCTTTTCATTGGTGCTTGCCATCCTTTGTTCGGTCTCTGCTACATGGATGGAAGGTTGCTGGAATGGCCAGTGAAGGTAGATGCTTTTGGTCTGCTATTCCCTTGGCAGTTATGTGTATGGTGTAGATGGAAAGAAATTCAAGGCAATTCAAGCAGAAAAGTAATCCTGCAGAGGGAGTGTTTAATGGCATGGTTGAGGCATTAAGGTAATGATTATCAGATATAGTTTATTTCAAACATAACAAATTCTTATCTTCTTTTTTGACTGTAATCTTGTTGAAGATACTTGAATACTTGTGGATTTGTACAGAATTATATTGTACAAACCCTTGTATTTTGTTATACTTATTAATACAAGCTTGGTCTTGTTTTATGTGGTACTAGGAAGAGCTTAAACGTCCAATCTTATTTACAGATCCTTGTATTTTGTTATACTCGTTAATGCAAGATCGATCTTGTTTTACGTGGTACTGGGAAGAGATCAAATGTCCAATTTTCAGATCTGGCAATTACAGACAGGGGGAGTGATTCTTTGATTTTAACCTTATTTTTTTGGTTAAAGATCCTCGGTGGTGCATGATGTTGATTTGTTCAAGTGTGTCCATCATCTGAACTCATTGTGTTTTGCAGGTGTTTGACAAAATTCTTGAAAGGCTATAGGTTTTTATTGAGGGGGTCTTAACATTCACTTCCGTTTTCTCGCTTGTTGCATTTTTGGTGTCAGGTTCTTACATTACTTCTTCCCAGGAGGAGTCTTTGTTATCTTTTTGTTTTATCATTATTTTCTATTTTAATCAATGGTTGCGGTGGCAGGGGTACTTGTATCATTTTCAATCTAGAGTCTTATATGTTTTCTTTTTGCAAATTTTCTCTCTAATCTGTCTTCCTTGATCTAATATTTCTAGTTTCTATTCGGTATTTATCCTTCAAATATTTTAAAGTATAGAATGTTCTTGAACTAGAAAAAAAAAATGTATTAATATTCAACTAAAGCAACTGCTTAATTGAGAAAAAGAAACACATGCCCCAAAGACCATTACTGAAATTTCAGTTGTTCGTAACGATGGTAAAGTTGAAAATTGTTTTCTTTAAGTTTGTTATGATAAATGCATGCCAATCAGAGCACAGTTGTTTATGACATTAGCAATCAATAGAGGTGATCATGGGATAGTCCAAGTACAGCACATGGTATAAGTGACATCATTCTAGCTGGCAAGGCTAGCATACTGGGCTTGAAATCTAGGCCCAAGCCTGGCCCTAATTATATATTTATAACACATATTAGTCCCATATAACAATGGATATGGTACTGAACAGGAGATGGAATGGGATTCTGAGAGATAAAGACAGCAATATGTTGTCTCTTTTCTCAGGACCAGTGGGTGAAGGTGATTCTGTAAGGGCAGAGCTACTAGCAGCGGTACAAGGTATACAGATGGCTAGTCAAATAGGAGTGAACAATTTGTTAGTAGAAGGGGATTCCAAGGTAGTAGTGGGCCGGCTGAATAACCCAGACACAGTTTGTTGGGGCTACAGGGATCTGTTAAAGAAAGTTAAATGGATGACAAGAAATATGATTATTAGGTTTCAGTGGGTCAACAGATCAGCAAATGCAATGGCTGATTCTCTGGCCAAGCAAGGGGTGTCGAGGGGAGATCTGTTTTGGGCTACATTGTAATTTGTCTCATGTTTGGGCATGTTTAGTGTTTATGATTCAGTCCTCGGGGGAGGTAACATCTTGTGCCTCTTCCTAGGCTGTTTGTATTTCTGATATTTGTTTTAATAAAATCTCTCATTTATCAAAAAAAAAAAAACAGGATGGAATGGTAGACTAGTCCATTACCCTTCGTTCTTGTTCCTCTCTCCCCCATTATCCTTTCTTTTTTGTGGCATGTCAGAGAAGGTGTTTACCAGTGTTTTTGAACCATCGTTGACCTGGACAGTCGAACCGTTCGGCCCGGGAAACATCGAGGCAACTGGTTCCATTTCACCCTTAACCAGGTCCTTGGCCAAACACCATTGATTTGGTCAACAACCCCCTGACCCAGGCAGTCAAACCATCGACCCATTCAATGGTTTTAGGCCATTTTTATTTGCATTATTTTTAATTATTTTATATTTTTAAGTTGGAACAGGCCATCCATTCAAACTGGACGGTTGAACCGCTGACCCAGAACCAGTGGCCAGAACGGTTCCGGTTCCATGTCAGTTTTTAAAACCTTGGTGTTTACACCTCACATTCAATTAAATTGAACTACTGGAATCCTAAGAATCTTTTGAGTAAATTATGATAATTCTTGGCTGCAATTGTGAAAATATTGTATGAAGCCTGAAAAAGACCTTCATCTAGCATGACAGTTGCGGCAAAAAAAAAATTAAATGTTCACACTTTACCTTATCATGTGAAAAAAATCTTCATTTAATGTGAAACACATCCATAAACCAGTATGCTTAGTGATTATAACATGCACATTATGCGAGCCACAACATGAAGTAACTCTCAGAAACATAAAAAGTTAAAGTTTTAAAGCTTCAAGAGTCTACCTTTTGCCAACTAAGACTAGCTAGAAAGTCTAAATAGCCACTTCAATTTCAAAATAGAAAAGATGAACCGAAAGACAAAAGAACCTCAGTGGGACAACATAATCAGTATAGTATAAACCATAATCTTAGTGCATCACTTCCTCACCATATTAAACGAGCAGCCAGGTTGGGATAAAGCAACTGCAGCAGTTTCTAATATATTCCCCAGAAGGCATGCATACCCTGGAAATTCAGGTGACAAATCATCAGGAAGAACATTAGCATGGCTATGCACACACAACGCCATCTGATGAATATAATGTTCACTAAGCTCTCGCTTTGCAAAGACCTGGAACACCAAAGAATACTTTTACTTCAGAGGATCACAAAATCATTCGGTACACAACTATCAGGAGGAAATATGATTAAATCTTATGCAATTAACCATCCAAGCTCTAATAAAAAATCAAAGAGACAAGTGATGTGGAAGCTTTCTTATGATAGTTGCAATTCTGTAATTTTTGTTTTTCCTAGTTCTAGTAGGATAGGTCATCCATATAGATTCTATACATGTGTTTTATCAGTTTATGTGTGTAACTGTTAAAACGTTGAAAGATAAAAGAATTGAGTTTATTTAATTTCTTACAGCTTATGCTAAATGTGATGAGTGGTTCTTGTCTCCAAGAGAGATTTTAGGCAACCAACTGAGTGGTTCCAAGTTCTCTCTTCTCTCTCCCTCTCTCTTCTTTAATATTACAAGTAGCTACATCAAGTCAGCAACCAACCATAAGTTCTTTACTAATGCATTCATTTAACATTCCCAAAGGACTAAAACTAATCTAGATAAGTTTTCTATATTTCTTCATCAAAACTCTAAGGTTTCCCATTCCACCTGTTCTCATCCTTTTATGCCAAAACATCTCTGTTTTTAGCTAGTTAGTACCTTAATCAATTCGGTATCAAATAAGACAATCATACATCAAGTGGTATCAGAGATAATAGTCAGTCACCATATTATCAAAAAGTAGAAAATTCTATAGGCATGAGTTATCTTCTAAACAACCTTATGGATTTAGAATCCACAATGGTAGAGGTTTTGAACCATACCAAAGGATCTTTACTTGACTTGTTTGAGAAGATGGTAGGAGAGAATAGATCTAATAATGTTAAATACAATGGTCAAGAAAGAAGATGGGAGAAGTAGGCTTATTATGGCTACTTCTTACAAAGGGTATCAATGGAACGATTTTGGATTGGACCCCGTCCAGTCCAAAATCAGTTTGAACGGACCAATCCGGTCCAAAATATTTATTAGATTGGATTGGACCTGGTCCATCCGTAACAAATTTATATTGGATTGAGTTGGATTAAGCCAATATCTGGTCCATTGATATAAGATAAGAATATATATGTCAATGGACCGGGTTTGGGTTAAAACCAATTTAAATCAAAATGAATTTGAACAGATTGAACGATCCAGACAATGAATTGGACCAGTCCAAATTGGTCCAAAACATTCATTGGATTGGATTGGACCTCGTTCATTTATAATGGACTCACATTGGACTGGATCGGATTGGACCAAATCCAGTCCAATTGACACCCCTACTTCTTACTTTACCTTGTCTCAAGAAAAAAATAAGCTTATTAAAGCTAAATAAGCTATTTAGAAAGATAATGAAAGAAAAGAAGATGCCTAATGAATAGAGAAAGAGCAGTATGGTGATTATATTTGAGTACAAAGTTGTAATAACTATTAAGAGATTTAACACATGAGTCACATTATGAAACTTCGGGAGAATAATCAAGTGAAGGTTTTGATGTGAAACAACTACATCACATAACCAATTTGGGTTTACACCAAAGAGATTAACCATGGAAGCTATCTTTCTTTTGAAACAATTGATAGAATGAGTTAAGAGAAAACTAAAAAAGAAATCTTCATATAGTTTTCACTGATCTAGGAGAAACATACAATAGAGTCCCTAGAGAGATAATATGGAGGTCTTGGAAAAGCAAGAGGCTCCAAATAGGTAAATAGACCTAACTGAAGATATGTATGAGGGTGCAACAACCAATGTCAAAACACCTGCGGGAGAAACACCAACAGTAGGGGTGGCCACGAGCTGAGCTTCTCACGAGCTATTCGAGTTTCGCTCGTAAAAAGCTTGGCTCGGTTCGGTTTAAATAGAGCTTCAAACCGAACTCGAGCCTGATATATAGGCTCGTTTGCTAATCGAGCCAAGCTCGAGCCCAATGAAACTCGGCTCGTGAGGCTTGCGAGCCTAGTATAACAAATAAATATTTTTTTATTATATACATAAATACATGCATACATACATAAACATATGCATATACATATACATGTACATATAAATATATAATAAATATTTTTTATTATATATAATAAATATTTTCTATTATATATAATAATATTTTATTTTTATGTATAATAGTAAATAATTTTTATAATTCTTATTTTTTGTATGTAAAATAAAAGCATTTTATATGTATGCTTTTTTCTTTTATATGTATAATAATAAATAATTTTTAAAATTCTTTTTTATATAAAATAAAAAACTATTTTTGTGTATAATTTTTTATTATTTAGAAAAAAACTTGGCTTGCAGTCGAGCTCAAGCAGAGCTGAGCTCAAACTTGCGAGCTTTGAACCGAGACGAGCTCGAGCTCAAGTCTCTAGCTTGAATTGAGCTCGAGCTCAAGCTTGAGCCTAACACAGTTTCAGCGAGCTGAGCTCGAATAGCCAAGTATTCAGCTCAGCTTGGCTCGAAATCACCCCTAATCAACAGTTACGGTGAATCTTCACTAAGGTTCAACACTTTGTCCTTATTTACTTGCACAAATAATGGATGAATTGACTAAAAATATTCAGGAGGAGGTCTCATGGTGTATGTTGTTTTCTGATGACATTGTTCTAATTGGTGAAACCAAAGAAGGATTAAATGCAAAATTAAGTTTATGGACAATACCTTAGAAACAAGAGGTTTCAAAAATAAGTAGGACTAAAACAGAATATAAGATATACAAATTTAATAATAGTAACTTTGCATACCAATTGGGGGTAGAGCAGCTAATAATTGAAGGGGATTCCAAGGTGGTGGTGGGCTGGCTCAAAAACCCTGAGGATACCATTTGGTGCTACAAGAATGAAATTAAGAAATTTAATTGGCTGACGAGGAATATATTGGTTTCTATACAATGGGTGGGGAGATCATCAAATGCTATGGCTGATGTGTTAGCCAAGCAAAGGGTAAATAGGGAAGAAATAATTTGGGCTCAGCTGTGATTTCTGTAATTTTTAGTGTAGCTGCTAGGAGGGGCTGCAGCTCACACCTCTCCATGGGATTTTGTACGAAGTTACAATTCTAAATCAGGTTCTGAATTAATAAATTTTTACTATTACTCATAAAAAAAATTAATAATAGTAAGAGTGTACATCAAGGCACATTTAGGATTGGAGACCAAGAGATGACTCATCATGACCTTTCTTGATACCTTGGTTCAATAATTCATAACAAGGGGAGAAATTGAGGATGTCACCCATAGAATTGGAGAAGGATGCAAAATGGAGAGGCGTATACAAAGTGTTGTGCGCTAGGAGGTCAATACCACTTTTATATTAAAAGGAAAATTTCATAAAACAGTTGTAAGGTCAGCTATGCTGTATGGAGCAGAGTGTAGAGCAGTCAAGAAACATGTCCAAAAAATGAATGGCAGAAATGCTTATGCAGAGATGAATGAGTAGAGCATCTTAAAAGGACAGCGCTAGAAATGAAGTCACGCAAGGTACCCTAGGAGTAGCTCCAACAGGTGATAAAAAAATAGAAAGTAGACTAAGATGGTTTGGTCACATGCACAGAAGACCATTAAAAGCCCCCATAAGAAGTGATCTATTGCCAGTTGAGGGAGCAAGAAGGACCAGGGGTAGACCAAAAAGGACATGGGACAAAGTGATGAGAAATGATTTGAGCATTCGTAATTTAAAAATAGATATGGTATTAAAACAGAATGGAATGGCAAAACAGGATTCATGTAGCTAATCCCATATCGTCGGGACAAGACTTGGATGATGATGATGACAACAAAGATAATGTTACTAAAGACTTTAGGAAAGAAATGGGCATACTGGATCTCAAGGGAAGAAATGATCCACAAGCATTAATTGATTGGTAGTGGACTAGTACTTTGATTGGTATGATATGTCTAACAAACGAAGGATCATATTTGCATGCTTAAAGCTCATTGATAAAGTATAGTAGAGAAGCTTGGAGCATGGTTTAAAATGTCCGTAATTTCCCTAATATTTCGACGACATATTTCCATTTCCATGGGTAGCGATATGAAATTTTACCGGAATTGACATATTCCCCAATGAACACCACCAGCACTATGTGGAATACAAGAGACAGCTTCAACAACATATTTCCATCTCCACTTCCATGGGAAGCAACATGAAATTTTACCGGAATCGACATATCCTCCAATGAACAATAATGAACATTATCAACACTATGCGGAGCACAAGAGTTAGTATTATAACCAGTGATTTAAAAGGCACACCTAGGTACAGAGGCGAGGCACATTTTAGGGTATGCACCTCGCCTAGGTCCTAGGAGCAGCCCTTTCAAAAGGCGCACGCCTGGTGCACCTTGTGCCACAGCCCAAGCATACGCCTTTTGAAAATTTAATGCTTTTTTGCTTTTTTTGAACAAAGCAGCCACGCCACTCCAAGAATTCCCCTATTTGCTAATGTTGTTCATTCATTCATCCTAATAAAATATTTTCTTAAAATGCAATTAAAATTATAAATTCATTATTTTTTGTGTGAGAACAAAGAATTTAACACCTAACATGGACTTATTTGGGCTTGCCTCGAGGGCGTGGCACAAAGGCAGCTCGTAGAATCAGGAGTGTAATATGTTTTACATTACATTAGCTACTTGAAGTAATGGAATTGAGTAAAAAAAGATATTAGAGGTTTTACATGCTTGAAAATGTTTTATATGTTTGATTTTATTTTTAAATTCTCATTTGAATATGCTTTACATCTTATGTTTATGTATTTTAATTTTAGATAATAGGTTTTTTAAAACATTTATTTTAAAATTTAAGTTTATATTTTTTATTAATATTATATTTAATATTTTTTTTTTTGAATTTTTGGCATGCTTTTGAATTTTCTGACATTTTTCTTATTTTTGCGCCTTGCGCCTCAGGCGCAAATTGACCTCTGCGCCTTGCGCTTTTAGAACACTGATTATAACACAAGATGGTGACAATATTGTAGATACGCGGAGTAACAATGTTATTGCCTGCCTAACTTACATGTTACCACTTTGAGATAATAACATATTCATTTCAAACATGAAAAATGAAGTTAAATATTAGATTTTGTTTGTTTAATAGATTATTTGATTGATCTATTACAACCATTTGCATTTTCTATGAGTTTAAAGTATGCTTTAACTCATTCCATCACAAAGCTTTCAATCTTAAGGTTTACAAGACAATTTCATAACATATTCTTTTGCCTATAACCTTAGTTTCTTAGCTTTGTTTAATGATTTGGAGCAATAAAATAATTTAAAAAGGTGTGCCTATGCTTCTTTTATCATTATATATTTTTGCATATTTTACAATGTATCTACCATGTCTATGATTTTTACAATATTTCCATACGATATTTCCAACATGTTTCCTATATTTGGATGACTGGCACTTCCATCGATACCAACATTTTAAACCTTGGCTTGGAGCAACAACTAGAGAATAGAGGTGATGATCCTATTGTTATGTGCGGCAGAGTAAAGAAATATGGCTAGTGCTAAACTGACCTATGAACTCTGGACTTTTTTATTGGAAATGGTAACATAATTAAAGAAAATTCAAAATACAACTGTCAACCCCTAAACTAGGTGATCGTTTGGTTTTCAAAGGTTACGTGGTGTTTGGTTAAACATCAAACAACACCTCTGAATTCTGAAAATTCCTCTCAAATTCTCAGAGGTTGGCTCACCTCTAAATAAATTCAGCACTATGTTCAGAGATCACTTGTCCTCCGAACTTTTTAAGCACTAGTGTCAGTCTTTATTATTTTTTATTTTTTTCAAAAAATTAGCACCTTGCTTTGAAAAGGTGCACACTTTGACTCGCACCTTATGCCTCAAACACAAAGAAGGCCCTTTCACTTTTAAAAGCACTACACACACACACACACACTCATCTTTTATATATCACAGAAATAAGTTACCATTCCTCAAAATAATCATAAAGATCACAATTTCCAGATAAATGCAGCTTATGAAAATTAAAAAGATTGAATAGATTTGGATTTCAGAGGAAGTTTGGAAACCATATGTTGTTATATTATATCTTTAGAGAGGCTAGAGCTATCATGTCTAGCTTGAACATCTCAATCCAATGAACACTCAGATCAGCAAATCATATTGCTAATGACTTGGCACAGGTGTGACGCAAGGCGTTCTACTACCAAGAGGTGTGAGGCATAGTTCAGAACGCAAGAGGCGTAAGCCTCCTTAAGAGGAGGGGGCTAGGAGGATAGAGGGAGGAAGGGGGGATCTCATTTTTTCTTTATTTTTAATAAAAATCTTTTATATTAAGAAGAATAAAGATGCATAACATTAGTTGAAAGGGGGGGTCTTGCAGAAGCGGAGCAAGACCCCCCTAACTCAGGGCTGCATCGAAAAAGGGGGCCGGGGGGGTCAACTTCATGCTTTTCATGCAGTAGTTTAATTGTAATCCCTGCCAAAATTGGTTGACATTGGCTAACTCCAGATTCCATCACAATCATAAAAGCCAAGTACCAAACTAAACATGTTAAAGCAAAATTACCTCTTTTAAATAGGGAAAAAGCTGCCACAAGAAAGGAATTGTAAGAATTTGAGAAGAAAACCCCCATCTTGGATCAATATTTGGACAACTACACGGTTGGTGACCAATATGAGAAATGATGAGCATTATAACATGCTCCAATGAAGATATTTTACCACCACTGTCTTGAGCCTTCATACTTTTCTGCACAATCAAAATCAGTAAAACAGTTTGGCAATCATAGTAACGTAAAACACAATCAAAATGCAAGACATCATAAAATGGAGTCAAAAGTGAAATATGGAATAAATGCTATAAATGAATCTTATGAAGGATAACCGTTGCGAATGCAAAAGAAGAATGAGGCAGCATGTCCTAGATTCAAAGATAATCAGTTCCAGATTTTAGGATCCACTCATTAAAAAAATTGAAAATTTTGAAAAGGTAAAGTTTTTTCTTCTTTTTTTTTTGAATAAAAGGTAAAGTATATTTGTATTTCCAAAAGAAATGAGAGGAAAAAAAACTCCCAAAGGTATGACTGTACAAGTATGATATTCATAGAATTACAGGATATTGATATTTCATTCATGGATACCTGTATTTAAAATTTCAGATCAATCAGAGAGGAGGGGCATCATCTGGCAATTGCATAGCAGATTATTTTCTGCACTTTGACCAAGGAACCCATTGGGGTGTGTGGCCCAAGCTAGAAGAGTCCAGTTATCTTTTCTTTCATTAAAATTTGGTCCAGAAGTTCTAAATAAGGTCTAAGAGATTTCTCTCTTAAAATCAGGGTTACCATGGGAATTTCATAAAATACAGAATTCTGTGGCTTATTATTGGTATATTGGTATTTGAACATTGGGTACACTAGGGATTAAGTAGTTTAAGAATCCAAATCTTACATAAGTATTAAATGTTATTTATCTGTGTCAAAGGGTACTTAAAGATTTTATATGGCCATATGAATAGCAATGGAAATAGTGGTTTTCAGTGAAATCTTATATGGGATCATTATACCCGTAACTGTGTCTGGGAACTGGGATCTTAAGAAATGGAGAGTCCTATCCCTGTTTTCCATATCCGTGCCAGTATTCATATCTCAGAAGCATAGATTTATAGCTGCTACTATTTCCTTGCTTTTAGATCTTCCATGGATTTCTTTTTTTTTATTTTGTTTTTTGTTAGCCAACAGGATATATTGTATTCATTGGCACAAAAAACCTTGCTATCCAAAATATTTGATTGTTAGGAAAAATACAGCATCTCAAATTGTCACTACATACAAATTTCTGTTCACTCACCAGGTCTGGTAACATTTCTTCAGGCTCTTCCAAATCAACTGGATCTTCCCAGCCCTGTTGCTGGTTTGCCTTCTTCTTGGAGGACTGTTCCATACTCAGCTCAAGTCTCAAGGAAATTTCCTATGGAAGTGTCTTCCCTTTGCTCTAGGCTGGTAGTTTGGAAAGAAAGGAATTGCAGAATCTTTGAGTCCAAGTCAGAGCCGCTAGAGGCAATTATTGGTAGAAATGAAAGGATGTTGATGAGCTTGGCAGGGCCTGTTCAAATCTTTATGTGGGTATTTTAGTCAATTCCTTTTTTGTTCATTGGCTGACCATCATTTTTTGAGTTTTCTCTTGTAAAGAATCTGAATGTACATCATCTGTGCATATTGAAAGAGGCACCATCTTTTGTATATGTTATTGAGGGATCCTCACCCTCCACTTTTTTGAATTATAATACACATACTTCATTATCTTTCAAAAACAATTATGTTTATAATTTTACATATCATTCCCGGGCCTAGGTATTCCTCAAAGAAGTCCTCATCACCCCAGTTTTTGATAGATCGTCAACCACGAAATTGGCAGTCCTTGGGACACACCTGAACAAGCAGTCCAGGCTTCTTCCTACTGATTTTGCTTCTCTAACCAGAAACTGGAAGATCCAAAGGATCTCTTCTGTAATCTGTACACAACCAATGGCCCCCTCCATACCCTACTGGCTGTCTGGCCCAGAGCCCCAGACTAGCTGAGAAAAATACTGCCTCTATCATCTCTTATTGCCCCTCCTATTCCTGATGTACTGAAGTTACCTATGCGGCGTACATCTACATCAAAATTTAATTTTATATTGCCCATGTCAGGAAGCCTCAACTCCACTATACTGGGCTGTTTCTACTGGAAAAACCATCCAGTATTTGCCAACCTCTTAACAGTTAATCAGTTGTGACTCCCTTGAGTTGTTTATTCACCAGCATCCAATGTACCATTCTCACTGTAATCACTTCTATTAGGCACCGTTTGATTTGTGGGAAGATTGGGGTGGGATGGGATAGGATGGGATTGGGTGAGAAAGTGTGAAATTTTCATTTTCCAGTGTTTGGTCACACAAGGGGAAATAGTGGGAACATTCCTTTTCCCATTTTTGGTTTGTCAGAAAATAATTAAGAGAAAATATGTTGAAACAAAATGCATGAGGCAAAGTTTAAAATAAATCTACATGTATTAAACTCCAAAAATTATATCATCCAACAAATTGTTAAATTAGGAGATGGCTTTACACCGTCTGATCACTGCATTCGGCAGCCACCACAAGTATCACAAATACCTCTTCTTGATACAGTGACCAATAGAGAAAAGAAAAAACGAAGAAATAGAAGTCTAGCTCAGTCAATCAGTCCGATTGGGAAGTTTCAGGTGAGAACCATGATCTGGATACGATTAGAACCCAAATCCCTGCTCTGATACCATGTAAACCTAGAAGTAAAGAGATGAAAGTGGGAGATGAAAAGAGGATGGCTTTACACCAAAAGAATGGACTGGTGGCGCCTTAGATTCTATTTATATTATTAGGGTGATGGCTTTACAATAAAAAGAAAGACAAAGACAAAAAAGCCCTTGCAGCAATATACAAAACAGAATTATAACAGATCCAAACCCAAATACATGACTATAGAATCCAATTTGAAGTTTCACTACTAGAATGGTGAACCAACATTTGATGTGGGTAGATTCCAAAGGTTGGTTGCCAAGTTAATTTATCTTTTGCCAAACATGATATTGCTGAAATAGTAGTAGTGAGCAAATTTATGCATTCACCACAATCCATTTATTTAGCAACTATAAACCATATCATATGTTATATTAAATACACAACCGAAAAGTGATGAAGTCATAAAGACATGGGCATAAAAAGGTGAAGGCTTACACAAATGCAGCTTGAGCAAGTTAAGCTACCGACAGAGATCTAGGTATGGTATATTCTTAAAAGGGTAACCTGGTTACCTAGATAAGTAAAAACAGTTGGCAGTTGTTCATTCAAGTTCATAAGCTGAATACAGGGTGATGGCACATGAGTTGTGATGCCCCATAAAAGGCAATATGAATCTATATTGTGATAACAAAGCTGCAGTTACTGCTCATAAATCAGTACGGCATAATAGGACAAAACACAGAGGCAGGCATTTCTATTTTTTAAGCAATAAAGTTTCTTTCACTGATCAAAAAAAAAACACATAAAGGTGGGCAACCATTTTATCCAAGAGAAGGTGGCCCAAAGGAGATTTATTTATCATTTGTGAAAATAAATAGCCATTTTTCTAATTTCCTCACCAAGCAGGGAAAGCTCAACCAGTTATTGCTTGAAGGGGAGTGATTATTTTAATACCACACATGCTGTACATATAGGGCAGTATGATAATTCTACTAGTATTCTTATAATGAACAAAGGATGGAATAGGCTGTTACGTAAGCCAAAATACAACTTCTTCCTTTTCACCTCTTCTCTTCTTTCAAATATTTTATGTTTTCCTTCTCAAATAGTTTATTTTGTAATGAGCCCAGAGTGCCTAATGATGTCTATTCTATCTTTTTTTTATAAGAATTTCATTAAAGCAAAAAAAAAAGTTTACAATTCGAGTATTAAAGATCACATTAGTAAAGAAGATTTTATTAACCATACAAAAGATGTTCAGTACCAAATTTCACAAAAAGTTTAAATTTCTAAATGGACCAAATTTTAAAATGAACCTGAGGTTTAAAACCTTTGGAACCAACATAAAAAGGTAATGTTCTAAATTGACAAAAAAAATGTGGAAAGATGCAGTCAATAATGCCTCTATGCTTAAAAATAAGTGGAAGATTGCTTGTGGTGAATGCGCATGTGTTTCCTTGGCCGCAATAAGATAAACCATATAAAAGAGGACAGGGATTTAATTGGGATAACAATATGTACCTTCCCAGTGAGAATAATATCTCTCAACAAGGCAAATATATTTCTTTGTGTGAGATAGCCAACAATTGTGCAAACCCATGGAAGTTTCGGATCTGTCAAGACAACCACAGTTTCTAGCAGGATGGTTATCGGACTACTAGAAAACTGATATGACATCAAAAGATGATCCTTCAGCCAATCCCTATGCAAGACAATATACAGTAAGCCACAACTGTCATTTCCACCAAGTTAAATCAAAGGCACATCAATGAACTTAGCTTTTTTATCAGTAACTACAAATTTTCCAGTTGACCCATAATGGGCTACAAACAGACAATGACTAATGCTTTTATTTTTGTGGAGTGAATGTGAGTAAAGAGTGGGAAATTTATCCATCAATGGAATGTCATCCTACCAAACATCCTCCCCCACAGTCTGATTCTTACCACAAGATCCCAAGGTAAGCAACATATTAAACAAAGAAGAAAATGAGGGTAATATTGCAACAATTGATTTCTAGGGAGATGTAAATAAAGCATTAGCTGATACTCCAGCATCCCATCCATAAGAGAATGAGCCCATGAGTACTCTTAAGAGGAGCATGCCATAGTTTATCGTCTTAAGGGAACCTCCAGGGCCACTTTCCTAATGGTGATATATACATGTCCTTCAATCTACTAATTGCCAACCCTCCTTCCACAGGATTGTGCACTACTCTCCAAATGATCAAGTGGTCATCTTTGGTTTCACCTAGCTCCCACAAAAAAAAAAAAAAAAAAACTTAGCAATTGCTGATGGGGATCCAAAACAGTTAACCCTAACAAAAACTAAATTGATAGGTTCTCAAAGGTAGATTTTCTCAAAGTGGATATAATTTCTCATAGTGTATCTCCCCACCACCAGGTCCCAAAAGCTAGCTCACCTTGGGTTTCCTCCTAGTGGTAAGCTTAGGTAATTTAAATGCCATCATTCACCACCCAGCCTAACAACCCCAAATACCTCTCTACACTCCCCTAGCTAATATTGTTCCAACCAAACAACTTTTCTCTCAACTGATTTTCAAGTTGGACACTTTCTCAGAGTCTTATCAACATGGTTAAAATGTCAACCAACATATATCAATGTTGAGACCCATCGATAGACATTTTAGCGAGTTTCAAAATTACAAAAAGTTGGTCAACATATCATATATTTTGGTAAACAACAACCAAATTGTCTCATACACACTAAAAATGCAATATTCTTATTTTTAAAACGAAGACCCAGGACAAACAACAGATTATATTTCACATTAGGAAAGACAGAGCATGGGATCTAATGCATGGATAATACATATGCCATAAATGAAAAATCAACTAGGAGTAGTCAATTTATGATCTATCTTGCAACTCCTCAAGCAAAAGAAAGGACAGAAGAGAGAAAAGAAAAAGGGAATTTACACTAAACATACCTGCAAATCTATGCAGCAAACTCACAGCATCTCAGTTGTTTACATTGAAAAATTAATAGGGGAGAAAATGGTTTTTACATACTTGGATGGAACTTGAAACCCACAAGCCAGTAGCCACAAGGCCCACAACATAATGGTGACTGCAAAATGTTAGGCTTGGAAATTCTCAGCAAGTTGGCAATGGCAAGAATTAAGTTGCTTCATAGTGGCCAATAAACCTGTTCATGGGTCGGACTTTTACTCTTCATAAACATAATTTTGTTAGGCCCGAGCACGAGCCCGGCCCGACCAACGAGCCTATAACATGGGCCCGAGCCCGAGCCCGGCCCTAATAAAAAGCCCGAAGCCCGGGCCCGAGCCCAAAGCCCAACCTAACAAAAGAAAGAGCTCACCGCCGGTGACTGTGTTCGCCGGTGTTGAGCTTGCGTCTGAGAGAGAGAGAGGATTCACCACCGCCGTCGATGCCTGTGTTCACCGCCTGGCCGGTGCCTGAGTTCGCGATTGAGATTCTGAGAGAGAAGTGAGAAGAGGAACAAGAGAGAGAGAGAGAGAGGGCTCACCGCCGCCGTCGGTGCCTGTGTTCGTCGTCTCACTGGTGCCTGAGTTCACGTCTGAGATTCCGACTTTCTAGAAGAAGTGAGAAGAGGAACGAGAGATAGAGAGAGGACTCACCGCCAGTCCGCCAGAGTTCGCTGGTTGCGTCAGTGACTGTTCGCCGGTTCTGTTTGCCTGAGAGCGTAAGGTTGCGCCGATGACTGTTCCACTACCGAGATGAGAGGTTTGGCTAGAAAGAGATGAATGAGAAGAGAGGGGTTAGGAACTTAGGATATTTAGGGTTTTTTATTTAACCTAAAAGTTGGGTCGGGCTTTTTTAACAAATCCTAAGCCCGGCCCGTAAAATAGTTGGACTCGAGGTCAAGCCCGTGGGCTCAAATCTATGTTAAAGCCTGTCCGAAGGCCAGGCCGGCCCGTCGGGCTACCCGGCCCATGAGCAGGTCTAGTGGCCAATGAATTACCTAGGTCTTCCTCTAGATGCCAATCCTAGGGAGCATAAATTTTTGAACTCAATAATTAAGAGATTCTCCAAACAAAAATAAACAAGACAATTGATTTCTATATGTTCTGTGTATCGGGCCTTTAACTTAACAATACGTATTGGCTGATACAGGCTGATACTTTGCGAAATTTTTAACCTTAGCTAGAATATTAGGGAGATGCACTCGAGCTACTGTCTTATGGACTGTGTGATAAGAAAGGAATGCACAAATTTTTAAGAAGCAGGAAACGACTTTGGAAGCGCCGATTGAAGGTATTTCAGTGAAGGTTGCTCATTGGGTGAAAAACTCAGTTATTTTCCTCATCAGTTTGGGATGTAATAAAGAAATGGAAGGAGGTGGTGGATTCTATTGTAACAAAGAATGGTTACCATCACAAGAACGTTTAACAAAGCTGAATTTTGATGGTAGTAGCATGGGAAACCCCAGACAATCAAGGGTAGATGGCGTGTTTAGGAACTAAAGAAGATAAGTCATGTAATTGTTGTTCTCTAGACCAATTGGGGCTGGGGAATCACTAAGGGCAGGTGGAGTGTGATGGCAATAGTGGAAGGTGTTAAGAGAGCAAGAGATATGAATACATAGAAACTTATAATAAAGGGGGACTCAGATTGTAACAAGATGGTTGATGAATAACGAAGTTGTTATGTGGGTGTACAAAAATCGAGATTAAAAGAACACTGATAAAAAGAAATGAGATTAAAAGAATTAAATGGATGATGAAGAGTATGACAGTGAAGGTACTTTGGGTTCAGAGATCAGCAACTCTATGGCCAACACACTAGCCAAGCAAGCGATGATGAGGGATCATATGTTTTGGGCAAAATTATAACTGAAATATGGGGGATAGTCTTAGCTCTCCATACAACACCTAGGTTAAATTTTCTTTAATGAAAATTCTGTTAATTATCAAAAATATAAAGATATATGAGTTACCTCAGATCTTGGACAGTCAAAGATGAAGAAAAACATCACACATTACAAGTCACAGCACACAACTTTGCTTTGGTAAGGCATTAACGATTAACCCCAATAGCGCAGCTTCTTGAGCAGAGAGTTTTGCTGCTGCTTTCCTCACATAGTCTCAAAAAAAATGACTGATATGGTTGGGATTTTTAGAAATAAGGGAAAAACGAAAGAACAAGAAGAGGAGGAGGAGTAGCAGGAGAGGAGGGCAGGTTCTGGATCTTTTCCTTCTTTGACTAATGAACAGTAACCATGTATAAATCCACATGTTTGCCTTCTTTATTTCCCCCCCCCAAACCACTTACTATGTTACTTGTATGAGGACCCACAACAGTACAAGAAAGTCTACTAAAATTATATAGACCCTCACAAAAAACCATTTCATCTGAATCTCTTTATAGGGCAATCCAAGATGTGGGACCCAATGCTACATGCATTGATAAATTGAAGAGGATAACTTTAAGATTTTTTTTTGATAAATGAAGAATTTATTAATGGAATAAACCACTGTTACAGAATACACTTGGAGAGGTACGAGCTGCAACCCCTCCAACCCATCAAGAACTAAAAAGGATTACAATTGAGCCCAATACAGATTTTCCCTATTTGCCCCTTGCTTGGCTAAACAATCAGCCATAGTATTGGCAGATCTCCCTACCCATTGTATACTAACATCCAAATTCCTTGTCAAGCATTTGAATCTTTTAAGTTCATTTTTGAAGCACCAAACTGTAATCTCTGGTTTTTATAGCCACCCCACAACCACCTGAGAATCACCTTCTATTAGTAGCTGCTCCACTCCTAGCTGTACGGCAAACTGTACCCCTTGTAGTGCAGCTAAGAATTCTGCCCTCGTAGAGTCCCTCTCACCTAAAGGACCTGAAAACAGAAAAGTTACAGAACCACTTAACTCCTTATAACCCCTCCCATCCCAGAAAGACCTGGATTGCCCAGACCACTACCATCAAAAAAACAATTTTTTGATGAATCACTACCATCAAAATTTAACTTCATGAATCCTTCAGGTGGGGGTACCCAGCTCATGTGCATCTTTGTCTTCAGAGAGGAACTGCTTTCCACCTCTGCCCAATGCCTCCACAAGTCATTAAAAGAGAAGTTCCAAAATAAATCCAGAGATTTTAGCCACACTATAGCCCTGTATAGGATGTATTCCTTCAGATCTTGTTGGCTTGGCACCTTCTCTTGGAATATTCTGGCATTTCTTTCTTCCCACACTGTCCAAAGCAAAGCTTCTCTTGCAACCCTCCACATTATTCTTCCTCGTAGAAGGATCGAAAAGCCTGCTTACATCTGTCTGCTAGCCTATTCCACCTGTGCATCCAAAAATCAAGAAGATCCAATCCCACAAATCTGCTGTAACAGTACAGGAAATTAGTAAATGGTTGCAATCCTCACCAAAGGATTTGCAAAGACTACACCAATTGGGGTGAGAGGCAAAGAGAGGGCCTTCTCCTTTGTAGATTATCCAAAGTATTTACTTTCCCGTGAAACACTTCCCAACAGAAAGCCAAGCCTTAGGGGGAACAGGCTTACACCAAACCTCCTTAAAAGGGAAAGAAAGAGAAGATAGTGGTCAACACAGGGCCTTGAAAAAAGAAGCACAAGAAAAATTACCTGAGGGCACAAGAGTCCAAAACCCTTTATCTAGTTCCGTGGGATCCAAGCAATCTTTTTCAAGAGAATTCAATAGGCCAGCTAGACTCGCAATTTCCTCATCCCTTAGACCTCTTCAGAACCCAAAGTCCCAAATTGGAGTCAAAGCAGATTCCAAAGGGGAACAAAAAGAAGAAACAGGCTCTTTCTTATACAGAGAGATAGAGAATAAGGATGGAAGGAGGTCCTTCAACGGAACCTCTTCAACCCAAACGTCTTCCCAAAACATAACCGATTTACCCAATACACACATCATACCTGAGAAAATTGTTGAGTTGAGGGAGAACATTGTGGATTGCCTTCTAAGGTGTTGCCAAAGTTGCCTGCCGAGAAACCCCAGCATCCCATTCGTTCTCTGAGTGGCAATGAATACTTCCCATCACCTCATCCAAAGGTCTTCCAAACAAATTTTTGAAATGGTTTACAAAGGTTCTACCTATCTCCTCTTGGTCTATAATTGCCTCCCCTTCTACTTCTAGTTTGGCTATAAAGTTTCTCCTTCGATTTCCACTTGCCAAATCATGGAAAAATTTGGTATTCCCATCTCCTTCCTTAATCCAATGATGCCTTGATTTCTGTCTCCAACAAATCTCTTCCCTTAGCAACATATCTTCTAGATCCTTCTTCAACAGTCACTTCTGCTCTCTCTACTGATCAATCAAAATCCCTTGGAACTCCTCATCTAGAGCCTCAATTTTATTGATAATATTTGACTTTTGCTCCTCCACTCTTCCAAAATGATCTCTATTCCACTCTTTCAACTTTGATCTTAATCTTCGCAACTTCTTGTGGAATTTCACACCATTCCTTCACTTTACCTTGAAACTCCGGATGTGGTAACTACATATTTTCAAATCTGAAAGGTCTAGGGCCAACACTAAGGATTCTATACCTATGTTAATAGGCCAATGGTCTGAAGTGACCCTAGGCAGAGCTCTAGAGACCAAGTTGCCCCAATGGTTTCCCAAGTTAGGTTGAAGAGGAACCTATCCAATTTCGAGCTCGAAGGGTTATCCTGGAGGTTAGACCAAGTGAATTTGTGTTGTAGCAGTGGAATCTCCTTCAATTCACAATCTTCTACAAAGTCATTAAATCTTCTCATACTTGTTTTGATTGACTGATGGGGGTTATTTGTTTCATTTGAAAATCTTATTACATTAAAGTCCCCTCCCACACACCATGGGCCATCCCATAAGCCTTTTATTGCAAAAACTCCTCCCACATTGCAAACGACATTACGAGGGTTACTACCCACGTGAAGCCATCCTCTACATTCCTAAATTTGATAGATACAGAGAATCTTCCTATCAATTCCTCCATAGGTTCCATTATCTCATCTCTCCAAACCGTCACAATTCCCCCTGAGGCTCTGCAGGACAGAGCAAAAGACCAACTCGCTCCCCTAGACCTCCAAAAGCTTCTAACCCATCTTGCATTTATCTCAGACAATTTTGTCTTTTGTAGCATCACGATATCTGGATTTTCCTTCCTGAGAAGATCCTTTACTACTCTTCTCTTCCTTGCACTTCCCAAGCCTCTCACATTACAAATAAATATCTTCATCAATGCTTTTTCCAGAACCCTTCTTTCGCCAACCTCCTTTCCTTACCTAGACTACTTCCTCCTATCTCCCCTTCCACTAAACTCTAGATCCCCCTCGATATCCAAAAGTAACCTTTCCACCTCGAACCTTTTTTTCCTTTTTTCTTTTTATTTTTCTTCATTTTTTCATTTTTCCTATGATACTTCTTCATCTCCTCCTTCCCCCCCCCCCCCATTAAGATCACCCCCTTTCAATTTCCTATCACTCATTTGCCTCGGCAGATGAGTACCATAAACCAAAGGGACACACATACCTGGCCGAAGAGCAGACAAGGAAGCCGAGGAGTTCCCCCTAGTTTTACAAGGCAGAGAAGTGGTTTGGATTAGATTGGCAACCCCTTCTGATCTTACCAAGAGCCAGCCCTATCTCTGTATCTCCCTTCTCAGTCTACTTTCACATAACCTAGGGGAGTCATATCTCTCTAAGCCAATCCCCATACTGTACTGCTCTCATTGATTAGCTCCCTCGATTAAGGATGGTGTAGCTTGCACAGCATAGCAGCCACCACCAAAACTATTCTCATCTAGAAAGAGAATTTCCATATTGAGGTTGTTATCCTCTAGAAAATCCCCTTTATCTTGCAAATCGACACTACCCAGACTATCCGTGTCCTCCATGTCAGAACCTTCACGGGATTCCATGTCCGACCAGTCCCCATTCTAAAAGTCTAAAACAGTCAGGTCCTTCTGCTTTTACACACCTCGGATTTCATCTATCCAGCGAGATCTTTGTTTGTTTCTTGACTAGGATCCACTGTAGCAAGCAGCTACCAGTCATTTTCGTTCCTAAGGAGCAGCAGCCAACAGAAAATCGAGAGTTTATTCCAAGACGTGTTCCACACAAATATATGCCATAAAAGAAGTCTCCTTCCCATTTAAATATGATCGTAACTGCAGTAAACTAGGGAGTTATTCCAAGACGTGTTCCACATAAATATATGCCATAGGCCTCTGAATGCTGAAAAGAAACACAACATCAAAAAAACGTAACCAGAGGCCATAAGCACCGACCCATCTCCTGCAACTTCTTTCAGAATCCATTGTAACTAAATAAAAAGGCAGTAAACAGTACCAAGTCGATGAACCTTCATGTCAAAGTTCCAACACTAGTAACATGTTTGGCCCCAAACTCACACTGAAAGGTAAATAAAGTAAAGTCTTCCAAGTCTCCTAAAACTGGTAATTCCCAAACATTTCCAGCCCTCGATCACCCATTTCCTGACTGCCAAGGAAGACTTCTATCCTCCATGCCATGAGGGAGACTTAAACTAAAATTTCCTTAATTTGACATACAGTGGCATAACCTTATCTTTAAACCCATCCTTATCAATAAGCAGAAGTCTACTCTTAACATTCTCTCTCCATTACAAAAAAAAATATATCCATAAGTTCCAATTATGGTTCAAATGCAACAGGTTTTGACCATAGGGTGAATAAAACCAACCTGTTTTGATGAACTGCCTTAAGACAGGCATTAGCAAGCCGCTTCACTCTATTCTCCACAGTATTCTTCAATGAATAATTGGCACCTGCAAAAAGGCCCAAGGTATCCCCTGTTGCATGGCTAAAATCTGTCAATATAGCGTTCTAAGGCAAGAAATAAGCATGCATAACCATATAGAAAAGGAAGTAATATGGATTTAACCATAAAGAGAATAAAAAAATACAGTCAGACTCCATAACCATCACTCGAAAACAATGGCAAAAGCAATGGGAATTTCCGCAATCACTGCTATATCGAGATAGATGTATTCAATTTTTTTTTCTTTTTGACACAATAGTGAAGCAATTTTACTTAGTTAATATTGCACACAATTTTACAATGGCCCATTGAAATCATAGGCAGTAAAATGTAAGGTAAAAGAACAATCTTATTGCAAGGTCATCACAAAATCTGCAAAAACATGTCTGCACAAAAGCCAGCAAGCTTGGTGATAAATTACTAGAAGAAAGAATGGTGCAATTGTTAGGGAATACAAAGGATACATGAAAGAATATGACAGGCTTTCTTTACCTTCTCCAATAAAAGTAAATAAACAAAGGATACACGAAACTCTTATAGAGAGAACAATAATCACATCATGGGATTTGTTATTCTGCTTCTTTTAGTTTTAATGAATTAAGGGCTCAAAAACCAAATATGACAGGAAATAATTACCATTTGTTATATATTATTTTAAGAAAACCCAGAAAATGATATGCCTGGGAAAATGGAACATCAGAAACTGATAAAAGTTTACCAAAGAAATTGGTTAAATTAAAAAAAAAAAGGAACAAATTAAGACTTTACTAGATAAAGTTTGATTTGAACTGGCAAACAAGATGAAATAAACTGAAAGTAAACAACTAGAGGTTTTTTTTTCTATGGACAATTAAAGTTTATTACACTGCAAAATAGCTATGAGGAAAAAAAAGATATTTCAGTAAATTCCAAATAGGATAGACTGAATAGAGTCATTAGACCCACCACTATCTCTAACAAACAGGTGAAATAAGCGGCATGTCCCCACAAGGATCGCAAAATCACCACTGTTATGTGCATTGAAGAAAAAGAGCAACTGGCAAAGGAACTGTGAATCATGATTGAAACAACCCCTGTTGATAGAAACCAATAACAACATCAATGGAGCAAGTGGCAGAGGAATACTGCCTAGTAACTAAACATTAAATGAAGCAACAAACAAAGTTGAACAAGGTTTTAGTTGCATTTTGCTTCGCAAATTGTTTAAGGGACTGTCTCCACAAGAATAAGTAACTACTACCAGTGCTTTTATTTATCAGTAACAGAAGCATTTCATTAATGAAAAAAGAGAGATAAGTACAAAAGCAGGGGAGATAAACTTTCTTAACTCCCCCAAAATTAAAAGATTACAAATAGGCCCAGAACAAATGATCTCTTCCCACCCCTTGTTTGGTAGTGCACCTGCAAAGGAATTGGCACACCTCTTTACCCATTGTCCTCACTGTCATATCCCAAGTCAGCCACTTAGAGATTCTCTCTTCATTCATGTAGCCCCACATGCTACTCTCCTCCTTTGGCAGCCAGTCTATTACCAACTTCAAGTCTTCCTCAAAAATTAACCTCCTTAATTTAAGCTCCTTAGCCTTTTTGGCACCTCCCAAGACAGCCATAACTAAAACTAGTGCTTTAGCTTCATTACTAAATCTACTAAACATCTAAAACCAGCGTACCTGTCTACCTTTTGGCAGTGATCCCCAAAGATCATGCAGAACTGCTCTCGGACTTTAAAACGTTCAGCTTCTGCAGCTCTCCTCCCTCTGAAGCATTTCTGCAGCAACCATTTAGTCAACTTGTGTACTTTGTATGGCATATGTTAAATGAATGATAGACTGCTTAGATACTTCTATAAATGCAGATATTTGTAGTATTTCAACAAATAAAGCAGCAAACAGGACCAAAAGTCCAATTGCTTAACAATGCAATGCAAATCTTCTTTCTAGCTACCATGATTTCTTATGCCTCTTCTTTTTCCTTTGTGTATTGGGACGGGAAGGAAAATGGAGGAACAACAAAAGCCCCAACAAGCATCAAGTTTCCAAGAGCAAGTTTGCCTAGATTAACTCATTAACATGAGAAACAATGTTGAGGCTTTCCAGATTAAGTGTGGCAAGAAAAATTTAGACATTTAAACTGCAAAAAAATTATAATTTAAATAGAGCATTCTTTATTTCTTTTTATAAATAGAACATTCTTTATGTTCACAACACAGCAAGTGAAATTTGATAGGACAAACTAAAGAAATGGCACAAGTTCGTGATCAGCTCTATCAAATAACCCTATTTTACGTCCCTAATTACCAGCAAATAGCTTCAATCATGATAATAATGATGATAAGAGCTAAAATTAACCAACTTATACTATTATACATATATTATAAATACGGGTTTGACTATGATACCGGAAAGACATAATACCAGAAAAACTTGTAACCAATCACCCGGTATCATTAAAAGTGGTAACCAATCAGGTGGTTCTTTATCATATTCACCGGGGGTTTTGATTGGTCAAAGCCCTTCCGGTATCATGTCTTTCCAGCAGCATAGGTTTTTCCTATAAATACATATGTATACTACAGGCACTATTTTTATTTCGCAAGTAGCACATTCTATTTTATGTTTGATCACATTACTCTCTTTGTTTACGTTGTGTATATAATTACAGGCAAAAATATGCACATTGATAAACAAATATCCGGATTCTTCTAATATCATGTAGAAAGAAGGAAAAGTAATCTCCAGACTATTTTTTTTATCAGAAACGGTAACAATCTCCAGATTATTTTCAGTTAGTTGTAAGTGGTCATGCAGTGGGGAGAAGTACGGAATACGCGTAATCACCTAAACTACACTTTGCTTCTTCATAAAACCAACCAAACCTTCAAAAAAGTACTGAAGCTCAGTTCATAGCAGTGCAATTAAAACAGAAACAGATATGAAAGCAAGATCGTTTATCAATCACTCCACGGAGCAATGCTTAGATGCAAACCTGGATCTTAATCGCAGCAGAATTCTGTTGCCTTAACCCTAACCGCCGCTGCCTCTCAAGCCGCGTCTGCTCCAGAAGCTTCTGTCTGTCCCTTTCTTTCGAACTCCGTCCCCCTAAATCGACTCTCTTTCGCGTTGACGAATCTCCCGTGAAGAACATATTTCGCTATACTATACAATCCAAGAAACAAAAAGGGAAACCCTAATTCTATTATTTAAATCTCAAAAGAACGAGACTTAATGAAATCTAAAATTCGAACGAAATGTCTGTTATTTCGAATTCTAAATACAGATACTATTGCGCAGTCGAATAGTTTGCCCTAGGATCGAAAAGGAAGAAAAAGAAAGATATTAATTTTATCTCCAAGAAAGACAGAGAGAGAAAGAGTTGCTTGCTACGACTGATATTGGAGACTGGTTCTCCGACCTTTAAATGGAGAATTGGAGATTAAAAGCGGAGAGACGAGGAGAACAAGGGGAGAAAAAATAAACCAGAAAGAGACTTGTCTCCTTGGTCAAGGGACACAGGTGACATACCCATGGCTGCAGTCTGGGCCCTCTTAAGTTGCCACGTGTTTGATACTTAAAAGATCAATCTAACGCGACAGTCTGTATGGAAAATCAGCTAAGACGTCTCTTCCTCCGGAGTTCACATCGGAGTTGGGATCTCCTGCCAACAAATCAGGTTCCAACTTCCTACCAGCATCATCCGAAACCGCACATCTCACCAGTCACGGACCCTGCCATCATAAGAGTGGGATCCGTCGTGTAGAAGATATGCGGTGTCGGATCATGTTGGTAGGTGGTTGAAAGTTGAAACCTGTTTGTTGGCAGGTGATCCGGGTAATCGCAAATTCACAATCAGAATGACGTGGTACATCATGATTGGCTAAGAATCGTCTGATCCCATGAAGACTCTTCCCTCCGAGTTCTGACCAAAAGGCCACACAACTCTACAGCCGCACATTGAGAACATGTCTTTTCATTTTGTTATCGTTAACGGGGAGATGTTCCCTGGCTGCGGTTTCTTGCGCAAGGTTGTGACCAGCATTTTGTTGATAGCAGATCCGAACTCAGTTCCTCCACTCTAATGAATACGAATCCTCTACAGTTTATCGGCCAATTACGATACACCACATCATCTCTTTAACATGATTCACTCAGACGGGATCGGTTCTTCAGAGCGCACCTCCCAGGCACATTCCACTATGTACGGAAACATTCATAAGATGTTTTTAATACATAGAATGCATCTGTGAAGTCGGTGTGAGGTGCTGTGTATGAGTAGCATATCTCAAAATTCGTGTATTAGGTGTTTGAACTTTTTGATGAACAGTTTGTGTTTGGAAACAGGATATGCTCTTCATACATGGCGTCTCACAGATACATGATACATCCATGGTGCATTAAAAACATCTCTTATGAATAATAACTTCTAAGTATGAGAGATATTCCTCCCAATACATTATCGGATGTGTGTGTGAAGCCGGTGTGAAGCACCCTGTATGAGGAATAGATCCGGTCTCATGTGTTTTAACTGGTTGAAATTTTGTTCGAGATTCAGCGTGTTTAGACCCACACAATTTTTAATAGGGGTAATCATGGACTGAGTGGCCTGGCCTGACCCGGGTTACCAGTCCCAATTCCAGCCTACAGCTTTATGTATAAAATATTAAATGTACACAATACTTTGTATTATATGTCATATAATGTGAATATAACTTATTTTATATATTATATAACATAAAATATTATATAATATGTATTAATACATATCATACATGTATGTGCAGGTTGGGTGGGTCTGAACTTGAAGTATTGGGCCCAAAAACAAAACCTAAATCCAGGCCCAGGCCCAAATTTTCAAACCACGATGAAAATGATCAACCCTAAAATTTAATACACATCATGTGTGGCTTACATCCTCAAACCCACAAGATCCAATGCATTTGGACTCAAATGGATTTTCCTTTTGAGTTCACATAATTCATGACATGTCGAATGTGGTTTCACCTTTAACCGACTTGACTGATTGAGGTATTATAATTACTTTTAAAATTATTTTTAAATAATTCAAAGAAGCCTAGAAGCAATTTAGTATGGCTTCCATCTCTACGTTATCAAGTTTATGTAATAAGCTTTGCTTGAAATTCTACTGTAAACTGCAAAAGGGGTTCAAAATCTAAAACGGTTTCTTCCACTTGCTTTCAGCAGACCACATGGCCGTCTTTTTATTGCCCTAAGAATTAGGTTCATGATGGCGGTGTTAACAAAACAAGTTTTCTAACGTGGCTTCTATTGTTGGGTTTGGTTGTTTCGGCTGAAAGAAGGGGTAAAAGGATATACCATGAATCATGATTTTTGAATCGTTATTAATCTAGACAGTCAGACCATTTGGCCCAAAAATTGTCTATATAATCAGTTCTACTTCATCCTTAATCTGTTCTTTGGCCAAATGCCATTGACTTGATCAACAACCTATTGATTCAGATAAGGGTGCAATTTTTTCGGGTTAGGGTTAAGATTTTGTCAAAATTTTAATAGGCTCAATTTGAAACCCAAGTCCAAAACAGTGTAAGCTGTTAACTCGGGCCAACCCGATTTACACATCTAGACTCAAACATTCAAACTGTCAACCTATTTGATTCGAATAATGGTTTTGGTCATTGTTTATATTTTATTTTATTTTTTTAATTAGACTGAATTATATATTCGTTCAAATCGGACGATCAAACCGCTTACCTAAATCGGTAATTCGGTATTTAAAGCAATGATTATCAAAATCAATGAGCAGTCTTATGAGAGTCTTACGAGGAAGAGGAATAATAGGGGAACTAAGGTAAAAAACATAGATGCCTCTCGAGCCTTCTACTTTAACACATGCTTTGCACGTACGTGTATGTATAACGTTAAATATTAATGTCCTCTTTGTCGATGTTGCTTCTTTGCTTAGAATACCATCATGGCTTGAATCCCTATAACAAGGAGAAGAATACCTTAGGTCTTTGGATTTTTAGTTTATTAAAGTAACTCACTCAAGGAGGGGCGTTATCGGTGCAATCAGCAAAGTTTGAGCAAGACTTTCATAAGTTAAACTGGAAGGCTAAAAGATGAACATCCACCCGTTGAAGTGAAAGGGAGTTGGTAAATCCATCTTAGCAAACAATGTCACCTTGTAAGAGTATTGTTGGCAATAGCCAATAGAGTATTGGGGTGATCTATATTGTCAAACGGTTGAATATCTACATCAAGGTAAACCATCTATCTTGTTATGCTCTTCAAATTGTAATCACACATCAACCGTCTCACTCAATTACTAGCTTGATTGACTTGATTCATGACTCCACTAACATCCCATATACATAATTTACAGTAGTTGATGATATCATGATATAATAAACCATGGTGAACTGGATTGGTTCTTGGGGAGTATATGGGCACAATTTCTTGATCGAGGCTACTTTGAGGCCTTAAGATCTCATGGTATTCTTCAGGGACATTGGGTATGGCCACTAAGAGGGAACACACTATTTGCCTTGTGTAGAACATATAATAATCTGCAGATCTCAAGGAGAGATAATAGGATCGATTATAAGCCATTGACTGGAAGTAGAGGTGTCATCAATTGGACTGGTTTTGGTCCAACCCGGTCCAGTCCAATGTAAATCCACTTATAAATGGATTGGGCCCAATCCAGTCCAAATCCATTAAAATGTAATTGGACTGGATTGGATCCAATCCAAACCAATTGAAAATATAAAAAATTATATAAAAAAACATAACACATAAAAATTACAAAAATAAATTAAAATGAAAAAAAAAACCTGAAAATTATAAAAATATACCATTTTGGCATCCAAAAAACACTTTTGTAAAAGTGTTTTCATAAAAGTGTTTTTACAAAAGAATTTTTATAAAAGTACTTCGTAAAAGTGCTTGCTTTTATAAAAGTATTTTTGTACAAGTGCTTTTGTAATGTGTTTTATAAAAGTACTTTCAAAGAAAAGTGTTTTCACAAAAGTACTTCCAAAGAAAAGTGCTTTCATAAAAGTACTTCCGTAAAAGTTCTTTTGAAAAAGTGGCTTCATAAAAGTGCTTTCATAAAAGTGATTTTATGCTGGCTTCAGTTTTGATCAGTTTCAAATAGACAAGGGTTTGGCCTCATTATCGGATTATTGGAAATTTGGTTTAGGTCCAATTCAGACCAATAAGAACATGGACCAATTTATTGTATATTAGCCCAATCCAATAATTATAATAGATTGTCCAAATCCAATTTGATAAGGTTTGGATCAGATTGGATCCAATCCAAAATAGTCAATTGACACCCCTAAATGGAAGTGATATACCACCCCCATCTTGTATGATCATCAATGAATGCGCAAAGATGGCTAATCATCTTGATTGTAGTGTGACTTACTCCCATTCTTTGAGAGAAGCAAATCAATCAGTGGATTGGGTAGTGCATCAAGCTCTCTCTTTCATTTGTAACAATGACTTTTGGGACAAAGCTCCCCCACCCCACCCGGCCTTGTGTAACTCCTCCTTATTTGACCCAAAAAAAAAAAAGTGAGATACAATCCACCCAATCTAACCCAACTTGTAGCAACTAGGTTCATAAGTAAAGGAGTTAAATGCACACATGAAATACCTGCTAAAACTCAATGCTTCAATGCTTGTCAAATTTTCTTAAAATTATAAATAAAAACAAATTTTTTTATAAGCCCGAAGGCAATTTCATTGATTTAAATCTTTCAACAGTACAGGTGCAAGAAATGGCGGAGAAACAGACCAGGTATTTGGTCTGGAAATAGTACAATCATGTTTTGCCATACAGTGAGCAATGGAATTACCCGTACGATGAATGAAGGAGATATGGAATTGATCAAACTCCAGCAGCAACTTCCTGCAATCGACCAAAACATGATGCAGCCTTCAAGGGACCTCTGGAGATCGGTCCAACAGGAACTTAACAATCTGCTGAGCATCTCCTTCAACCCCCATGGGCTCATTAACTTCACTAATCCGTTTTCTTTTCTATGTAGGGCCCAGACAACCAAGTTATTATCACTTACCTTTTAAATAGTGCAAGGGAGGGGAGTTGAAACGTTTAACTCCAACGTCTCCTCAGCATCCACGCTCATATTAATATCTTTGAAGTAATTATCATTTGTCTTCCCCACGTCCTGAGCAGTGGGATCAGGGACCATGCGCACCTCCTCATTAACCTCTTCTTCCAAAATAGCCCCTGCCTTTTCATCTTCCACACCCTCAGTCGATCTGGCCTAGATTGGGGTCTGTACATAAAAACATTACCAAGAAACATTTATCACAAAATTTGTCCATTTTGTTGTGCCCTAATGTGTTAGCACACAACTCAATATTACAAAGGATAAGAAATTTGATATTCAAAGCCTTCACTACTGTTGTAAACTAACCCATTAATTAGACTTAAAATAATTGTATGTAATCAACATGTTAAAGCACCAAGTTTCATGGGCAATGGATAA